GTTGAATTCAATTCAATTCCAGGTGTGGATGGAATACAATCCATAGTCGTAAAGGAGCTATGGCAGATGAACTATGTCTACCAATGAAACTCCATTTCAGAAAATCTTTGGACCAAGGGATATATTTCCCATAGATTATAAATGTGCAAATGTCACCCATATTTTCCAGAAAGACAGAAAGAGCTCGGCAGAAAACTACCGTCCGATCAGCTTGACATTACACATCTGTAAGTTCATGGAGAGACTCAGGGAAGGAATCATCCACCATCTCACAGAGAACAATCTTGTAAAATCGACACAACAAGGGATTGCTAAGAAGAGATCCTGCCTTGCACAAACCTGCTCACATTTCAGGAAATGGTAACCAGTTGCTACTACTAATTTTAAAATCTATCTAGAAAATATCAAGGCAAATAAGGATACCTTCGATAAGCCGCCGGCTTCCTGTCCTCGTCGAGGCCACTTGAGTATTAGTGGCCCTTGGGTAAATTCAGGTAAAAAAATCTGTAATTAGCTTATCAAGACTTTAATTTACTTAGCTAAATAAATTGTGGGGTTCAGTTCCTGAGCCAATATCTTGTGAATACCCATATGAGAGTCACAGTCCCTGTGGTGTAGTGGTAAGACACTCGCCTGGCGTTCCGCGAGCGCTTTGTCCTGGATTCGTATCCTGGCCGGGGAGGATTTACTGGGTGTCAATCCTTAACTGTAGCCTCTGTTTACCCAACAATATAAAGGTTCTTAAACGATTTGGCGGGGAGGTCGTATTCCGGGAGACAGGATTAAGGACTTGCTCGACGTTAGGCATACTAGTGGCTGTACAACAATGTAACAACTCTTATATATATAAATAAAAAAACTAATAAAAAATTTGTTACCTGAATTTACCTGAGGACCACTAACACTAGTGACCTCAAATAGGACAGGAAGCGGGCGGCTTGTCGAAGGTCCCCCCATTTGCATTGATGATTTTTCCAGTTGGACTTTAAAATTTAACAGTTTTGGCATTTACAGTTTTGGCGGGTAGGCGGTTCTTTGGGTTTATAACCCTGTGGGTGAAAAAGCATCTCTTGTTCTCAGTACTACATTGTGGCTTGATCTTGAAATCATTGTTCCTTGTTTGTGTCACATCTGATCTTTTTAAGAAATTTTCCGGATCGGCATCCTCCAAATTGTTCAGTATTTTAAAAGTTTCAATGAGATCAACCCTGTCACGTCTGGTTTGCAGTGTTGTTAGCCCTGTGGCCCTCAACCGTTCCTGATAGGTGAGTAGACTTAGCTCTGGAATGATTTTTCTTGCCTGGTATTGTACTCTCTCCAGAGCAGCTATGTCCGTCTGAAGACGTGGTTTCCATGGTTGCATACAGTAATCCAGGTGGGGGGCGCACCAGATTTATACAACTGAATCATTACCTTCTTTTCCCTTAAAGTCAAACGTACTCGTCATTATTCAGAGTGTTTGGTTGGTTGTTTTGACTGCTGCCCCTACCTGCTGTGCAACTTTGAGCGAGTGGTGAATTTGGACTCCAAAGTCCTTTTCTTATCAGCTGCTGTAATGTAATGTTATTAATTTGGTAGTTGTGGCGTGGGTTGTTGTTGTGCCCCTCATGCATGGTGATGGAGTTGTCAATATTAAAAAGCATTTGCCAGTCTTTTGACCATTTGAAGAGTTATTGTATATCTCTTTGTGTCTATTGTGCCTCTAAGTTTTACACTACTGCCCACATGATAGGTATGAAGTCCTGGTACTACAGTAGAGTTCGTTCTTGACTCGCAATCGAAAATCCAGAGCAGGACAAAAACGGGCTCATTTCCTTTCACCTAATGAACCTGTTCACCTAACAGTAAGTAAGCACCCGGGAGTTAGTGAGCTTGTGGAGGTTGCATCCTTGACGGGGTCAGTAGTTGTTGAGGACCTCCATATAAGCCTAACATGTATATATTTGCTGCCTGTCCTCTCGACACAATGAATTTATTATTGGGTTGACAACCTGGTCAGCTGGTGCTTGCAGCTCATAACTTCTCACGTGGGTACCACAGCACAGATTAGAAATACTGTACTTTATTAATGTTAGTTTTATCAGGGATATAAATACCTGTACAGATCTTCAGAGATTTAAAATAAAAATCAACGGTCTTGCACAATATTGTTGAGTAATTACATGTTTACCCTTGTTGAGTAATTACATGTTTACCCTTATTTATATATACAAGAACATGCAGTTGGGTGTGCCTATAAGGTAATACACCCAAGAAACCGCCTACCCGCTGAAGGTGTAAATGCCAAGATATTAATTCAGTTTAAAATTCAGCTGGAAAAATCATTAGGAACAATGGGGGGATCCTTGACAGTCGTCGGCTTCCTGTCCCCGCCAAGGCCACTAAGCATATAGTGGCCATCAGGTAAATTCAGGTACTGTACTGTAATTCTTGTGAAGCCACTAACATAATAAATAAGGGTCCTCGTAGTACAGTCGGGTTCGTTCTCGACACACAAGCAAGCATTCCGTGTTCGAATCCCGGGCGGGACAGAAATGGTTGGGCACATTTCCTTTCACCTAATGCCTCTGTTCACCTAGCAGTGAGTAAGTACTCAGGAGGTAGTCAGCTTGTTGTGGGGTTGCATCCTAGGCAGTGTCCTCGATAAAAGCCAAACATGTATGAATGCACTCTGGCTTCCTGTCCCCAGACATAGTGAATTATTTAACATACACTGGAATATATGTGGCAATACCAACAATATCTGACTGATGGGAACAGGAAGCCTGCTATGTTCATCGAAGAGTCCCCATTAGATAACAGTTTACCTTTTTCAGGATGTAACACACAGCAGCTGTTTAACACCCACACAGAAATGCACCTTCTCCGGTGCGCTCCCGATTGGACTACTGTATCCAACCATAGAGACCACATCTTCAGACAGACAAAGCTGCTCTGGAGAAAGTGCAACACCGGGCAACAAAAATCATTCCAGAGCTAAGTCTACTCACCTTTCAGGAACGGTTGAGGGCCACAGGGCTAGCAACACTGCAAACCAGACATGACAGGGCAGATCTCATTAATACTTTTAAAATACTGAACAATTTAGAGGATGCTGATCTGGAAAATTTCTATAAAAGATCAGATGCAACACAAACAAGGAGCAACAACTTCAAGATCAACAAGCCACAATGTAGGACTGAGAACAGGCAATGCTTTTTCACCCACAGGGTTATTAACCCATGGAACCGCCTATCCGACAAAGCCGTAAATGTCAAAACGCTTAACTTTTAAAGTACAACTGGAGATCATCAAGGCAAATGGGGGACCTACGACAAGCCGCCAGCTTCCTGTCCTCGTTGAGGACACTAGTGTTAGCGGCTCTCAGGTAAATTCAAGTAAGTTCAAATACCCGATTTGAACCTGGCACAATTTGGTTGTGAGCCGTCTTAGCTGAGCTCCATGCTGCACATTACCTACATAACTATGTGTTATGTAGGTAATAAGCTCCCACAAGAGGTTGTTCTGGAAATTGGAACACGCTGGACAGGGAGACTTTTGACATGGATGAAAAATTTTCTAACTGACAGACAGATGAGGGCGGTAATCAGAGACAATGTATCTGACTGGAGGAGTGTTATTAGTAGAGTACCTCAGGGTTCAGTTCTTGCACCAGTAATGTTCATCGTCTACATAAACAATCTACCAGAAGGAATACAGAATTATACAAACATTTTTGTGGATGATGCTACAATACTGGGGAAGATAAGAGACACAGACGATTGTAATGCCCTTCAAATTTATCTAGTTAAAATAAGTGCTTGGAGCATCAAGTGGCAAATGGAATTCAATGTGAATAAATGCCATGTTATGGAATGAGGAGTCAGAGAAAATAAACCTCACACAAATTACACATTATGTTGAAAGGCATTACAGAACTCTTAATAAAGAATGAGACCTAGGGGTGGTTTTGGATAGTAAGCTGTCGCCAGAAAAACATTGTGAGAGGAGCGTATGTGTTGCTTTCCAATTTCAGACTTGCTTTTAATTACATGGATAGTGAAATACTATAGAAACTATTCATGACTTTCGTGAGACTATAATTGAAATATGCAATAGTTGTATGGTGCCCAAACCTCAAGAAGCATATAAATAAACTGAAAAAGGTGCAAAGGCATGCTACAAAATGGCTTCCGGAACTGAAAAACAAGAGTTACGAGGAAAGACTAGAGGCGTTAAACATGCCAAAACTAGAAGATAGAAGAAATAGGGGTGATATGATCATCACTTACAAAATACTAACAGGAATCGACCAAATTGACAAAGAGGAATTCCTGAAACCAACAACTTTACAAATAAGAAGACACAGGTTCAAGCTAAGGAAACAAAGGTGCCGAAAAAATATTAGATAGGTTTCTTTTGCTTTTTCTTTTTTAAGTGAGAAAGCGGTGGAGGTTAAAACCGTCAGTAGTTTCAAAGCGTTATACGACAAAGAGTACTAAGAAGAAGGTATACTACGAGCATTGCTCTCATTCTGTAACTTCACTTAACAGGAACAACCGTGGACATCTTCAAGAGGAAACTAAATTGTTTCCTTCAAGGAGTGCCAGACCAACCGGGCTGTGGTGGGTATATGGGCCTGCAGGCCGCTCCAAGCAACAGCCTAGCAGACCAAACTCTCACAAGTCAAGTCTGGCCCCGGGCTGGGCTTGGGAAGTAGAAGAACTCCCAGAACCCCCCCCATCAACCAGGTAAGTAATTACATACACACGCTACATTACCGTGGATGTACCATTTCATTCACTTTGGGCACTAGGTGCCTCGAACACCCGTCCTCTGATGTGAGAGGCGGATGCTCTACCAACTATGGGTTAACCTTAATAAGAGAAAGTTCCCAAGACTAGTAAACACTCAAGCACACACCCAAGTATTTTACCAAGTCTTTCCCAAATCTAAACTTGTCCAATTTATATGTTGTTTGAATACTTAAAAACACTACAGCGTGTAAAAAAGAAAACAAATCTATACAATAAAATGTATTTTGTGAAAGGCAACAGTTCATACAATACACAAAAAATATAAGAAAATATCAGCTGACAGCCTGAAAACTGCTGACACATTTCAGTCTGTTCATCCTGCGTAGAGAGAAAAAATAATCAGCGTGAACACCGGAAACTTGAAAATTCGTCTGCTACATTCCAATGTATACCTTGGGGTAGGGAGATGAAAAAGTGTGTATGTAGAGGCATGAAAGCAATGTTCTACCATATTACATGTCAACATTTGTCTTCAAACTGAATAACAGAAACTTCCCAATGGCACCTTAAAATGACTTTAGGAAAGCAGCAACTATATTACATGTCCTTATTGCTCATATTACAACATGCAAGAGAACTGGCTGCATTGTGTCCTGTTGAACAAATTTCAGTTAAAATTATTTTGTTAACAGACACTGTTTATTAATAATATATATATATATATATATATATATATATATATATATATATATATATATATATATATATATATATATATATATATATATATAATATATATATATATATATATATATATATACAGGGTATCTAATTAAGCACAAAGTTAATACAATACAATTATTTATGTCTTGCAGAAGTCAACAATAACAAGTGATCAAATGTGTATGCATAATGTTAAAGCGTGAATTTTACATTTGTCAGTCGCCCTGTAACAGTCATATTAATACTCAAATGTTCATATTCATTCTCATCTCATTTAATCAATAAGTCACTTCTGCCCACTTCACTGTAACTGCCTGAAACACATTTCTTACACATATGACATATGCTTCACAAATTTTAACTTGTATGAAATCAGAAGAAATAAATCTAGGACAATTTAGATAGCACATTTAATTTTGTGTTGATATTTATACAGTATTTGGTTAAACAAAAGAATTATTTGGCCATGTTAAATAATCAGACATAGAACAAAAGAATCTCCATCTGAATGATAAGACACTAAATATAATCCTAAATCTATTCTTAATTTTTATGTTGTTAACTGTAGCTTTGTGAGCCTATAGCTGTCACTGTTGTGAGGTCAGGCTTCCATACAACACTGACAGGCTGCAACATTGTCATTGTTGTGAGGTCAGGCTTCCATACAACACTGACAGACTGCAACATTGTCATTGTTGTGAGGTCAGGCTTCCATACAACACTGACAGGCTGCAACATTGTCATTGTTGTGAGGTCAGGCTTCCATACAACACTGACAGGCTGCAACATTGTCATTGTTGTGAGGTCAGGCTTCCATACAACACTGACAGGCTGCAACATTGTCATTGTTGTGAGGTCAGGCTTCCATACAACACTGACAGACTGCAACATTGTCACTGTTGTGAGGTCAGGCTTCCATACAACACTGACAGACTGCAACATTGTCATTGTTGTGAGGTCAGGCTTCCATACAACACTGACAGGCTGCAACATTGTCATTGTTGTGAGGTCAGGCTTCCATACAACACTGACAGACTGCAACATTGTCATTGTTGTGAGGTCAGGCTTCCATACAACACTGACAGGCTGCAACATTGTCATTGTTGTGAGGTCAGGCTTCCATACAACACTGACAGACTGCAACATTGTCATTGTTGTGAGGTCAGGCTTCCATACAACACTGACAGACTGCAACATTGTCATTGTTGTGAGGTCAGGCTTCCATACAACACTGACAGGCTGCAACATTGTCATTGTTGTGAGGTCAGGCTTCCATACAACACTGACAGGCTGCAACATTGTCATTGTTGTGAGGTCAGGCTTCCATACAACACTGACAGGCTGCAACATTGTCATTGTTGTGAGGTCAGGCTTCCATACAACACTGACAGACTGCAACATTGTCACTGTTGTGAGGTCAGGCTTCCATACAACACTGACAGACTGCAACATTGTCATTGTTGTGAGGTCAGGCTTCCATACAACACTGACAGGCTGCAACATTGTCATTGTTGTGAGGTCAGGCTTCCATACAACACTGACAGACTGCAACATTGTCATTGTTGTGAGGTCAGGCTTCCATACAACACTGACAGGCTGCAACATTGTCATTGTTGTGAGGTCAGGCTTCCATACAACACTGACAGACTGCAACATTGTCACTGTTGTGAGGTCAGGCTTCCATACAACACTGACAGGCTGCAACATTTTAAAAACCTAATTTACTTTTATCAATACAAAGGAAACAATCCCTGAAGGAATTCTGCACACAAGCATCTTCACACCATTTATTCTTCTTGTACCAGTTTGCAATCCTTCTCTTAAAAACAATAATAATAACAAAAAGAAAAAAAAGAAGAGATCTACAAATTTTCTTAATTGGAATCTTTGGTAAATAAATTACAGTACTACAATACTTTCTACTTTCCTACAATTGTAAATGCCAATTAATATACTGTACAACCAAATCCACTGGAGAGCTATTCCTGGAAATTTACTTCAATAAAGAATACATAGGTATGAGGAAAAAAAAAAGATTTATGCTACATGCAAAACCTCAAAATAAGGATTATACATTTGACACAGATTCACCATGTTTAGATTGTCCTGTATATTTTAAACACAATATTCAGTCATATAAATAATATCTATTAGCAAATGATTATCTCTCAGACTCTTTTTCGATCAGTGAGCACCCTAACAATACAGCCTACTCCTCCAGCATTGTATACTTTTTCGTGCCAAATGAGAAGAATGGCCGAGGAACCCTCTGAAGGCCTTTCGAACCCACGGTAAATGTACTTCATTAAAACATCCAACTGTGTCTTGTCGAGCGACGTAATGATTTGATCCATTTGAGCTTTGTTCACCGAGAGTAGCACCTAAAAAACAGAATAAAATGTATTTAGTTTAAAATAAGTTTACATTTATATCCTGGCAAAAAATCAGCGTTGAATGTAATGAAACACCATTTTCTGGGCGAGCCACGGAGGCTAGCCGGAGCTATCCAGGCTGATAGGAATAGTCCTAACTTTTGGCATCAGTCAATGTGGGTGGAGTTCTAGGCCTACCAGGGACCACAGGCAGAACCTGGCCCCCCCTCAGAGAGGCACGAGGAGCAATGGCCTATAGAAATGCACATGTGATTTTGGAGCATTCTATATCTGCCATTGACCGGGACAGGCACCCAGAAAGGTAAGCACCTCAAAACAAACCCTATTCTGGTAAACCCAGCGAAAATAACAAAATAAATGGACAGAACTCTCCCGAGGGAAAACGAGCAAACAAGCATGACGTGACACGAGCCGTGCCACATGTCTGCATAACTCCCCCCTCCCCAGAGTGAGGCACCCAGAAAGATAAGCATCCGATGGGAGCAGGTCGGCCGAGCGGACAGCACACTGTACTTGTGATCCTGTGGTCCTGGGTTCGATCCCAGGCGCCGGCGAGAAACATTGGGCAGAGTTTCTTTCACCCTATGCCCCTGTTACCTAGCAGAAATATAGGTACCTGGGTGTTAGTCAGCTGTCACGGGCTGCTTCCTGGGGGTGGAGGCCTGGTTGAGGACCGGGCTGCGGGGACACTAAAAAGCCCCGAAATCATCTCAAGATAATCTCAAGATAGATCCCAAAACAAACCATTATTCTGGTTAAAATATTGCTACCGAAAGCTGAACTAGTGAACAGAACTCCCCAAATGAAAACAAGCATGACGTCACTATGCTGCTGTCTGCAAAACTCCCCCTACCCAGGAGGGTGAAGGGGGAGCCCCAGACCCTTATCCCGGCTATCCACCCTGCAATTCTGAGGCTGGATGTCAAAACACGTGAAAAAACTGCCGACCAGAGGGAGGGAGCGTTGCCAGGAAGCCTCAAGGTCTCGCCCAGAAAAAAACGTTTCATTACATTCAACGCTGGTTTTCTGGGAAAAGCCCCATCGGCTTCTCGGAGCTACGTACCCAAAGATAACAGAAGAGGGACAAACCCGGGAGGCAATTGTCAACACAGCAAACATACAAACGTCACTGACACGAGGATAGATCACAGGTGGGCCGGACCGAAGGACCCAGTAGACAACCTGGGAGACCCAAACCCTGGAACAGGGAAGAAAGGAAACCGGTACACCCAACGCGTGTCCCCGGCCACAAAGCACACTGGAAACAGTGGAGAGCCACAACCGGACACAACACACGATGTACCCCCGGCCAGACCAACCAAGCATCAACAACCCAAGGACCCCTCCAGAAAACAGCAGTCTCATTCCTCACCAGAAAAGAAGGAGACAGCTGCAAACGATGAATCGGAACGTGTCAAGAAGCATCCGTGAGGTCAGGGGAAACCGTCAAAGAGCCTGGTTCCAACAGAAGACGGACCTGGGACAGAGTACAGTAGTCATCCAAAAGGAGGGGACAATAAACCCACGGGATCAGACGGGACAAGCCCAGAATGAACCTGAGGTCCGCGCAATCCCGTTTCGGAACTGGAATGGGCGGGAAAACCACCTGAAGGATGAGGTCGATTCGACCATGCCCAAGCAAACTCACTTCGAGATGACCCGACAGCGCAGGAGAAGAGGCCCGCCCCGCCAACCCTGACCCTCCCATAGGAGGAGGGGCCACCTAATGCCACCGCCAGCTGCACGAAGCAATCCGAAAGGCCCACAAATCTTGGGACCAGGCATGAGCAAACTGAGCGAGCCTCCCACCCCCCAACACCCTGTCAATAGCGCGAACCCCGAAAGGGCCGACTCCCTATATGAGAACCTGACCCCGAACAGAGCGATTACCACGCCGACCAGACAAAGATGGTTCCGAAGAGAGTGCTGGCTCCGAAACTAGTACCACTGGCCTACTACGACGGGAAAAAACCCGAGCCCTGGTACGACCTAGCCGGGTAGACCCCTACAAGCTTTCCCCCCCCAGAGAACCAACAATTCCGACATGGGACAACAATTAGACGAAGCTGCCTGCAGATACTGCACAACTGCAGACTCTTCAAACAGCAATGGGCAAAAAGGCGAAGAAAGCCTAAGAGCCAGGGCCCAAGCAGATTCCACAGAAGCAAGCACCGCCTGCCGACACGCGAGACGGGAAGCAAAAATACAGCGACACCGCATCCTGCAAGATCAGCGCAAACAGCTCCAAAAGCGCAGATGCCGCATGCACCACCGAGGCCAACGCACCAGACCCAGGAGCAGCCCAAAGAGCCTCCATGTTCACCTTAAGCCAGTCCCAAAAAAACCTGAACCACCGTATGAGCCTCGTGCCACTCAAGGGTGCGGGACCAATAGAACAAATGCCATGCCTCCAACGAGAAAAAGGGGCAGTCTGCAAGCCAGGACGATTCCAGAACCTCATAACGAACCCAGTAGGGACAGGTAGTGCCCTACACAAAAGAAAAAGGATCCAATAAGAGTGCATAATCTGGGTTGCGCAGGAGCTAAGCCGCAGTGGCCTCCCGCACCGCATAGGGGCGGGATGCAGGAGGCCGAAAACCTTCGGGAGACGAGACCGAAGAACCCTCGGGATCTTAGTACCGAACCCGAGGAAGGGTAAACACCAAATCCAACTTATATGAGAGGGGGGGGGGGGAAGAGAACCCTACCCCCTGTAACACCAAGCTCTGCTCTGAGGGTACAAAAACCAAAGCAGGGTCCAATGGGGTCCAAGACCCCCCCAAGTCAAACCCTCCCCTGCCCTGGAAAACTCCCCACGAGGACCCGGAGCAAAGCCGTCCTCCAAACCCCCCACCTCTAAAGAAAGGGAAGCAGCAGCAGGAACAAAGGGGGCCCACTGGTCAGACCAGGAAGCTCCGGCTGGAGGACCAGGCTCGAATACCTCCGTCGTCACACCGGAAGGGGACTCTCCCGAAACTGCCTGAGTCTCAACACCAACTAAACCTTGCCCTGACTCCGAAGCCCTCAGATGCTTTGGACCCGGAAGCAAAGGGAGAGGACCAGGACACACAACAGAAGGAGAAGGACAAGGTAGTGCGGATGGAACTAAAGTCGAGGCGACAAACACCCCCAAGTTCGGGCCCCTATAACCAAAGCGGGGCAGTCTCGGGGCACAAAGGGTAGCAACCAAAATTGAGCATGCAATGTTGAAGCTGCCTGCTCCCGCACATCATGATCATCGGTCTGGGTGAATTGGAGCACGACCAAGCAACAAAACTCGCAAGACTCCAGGTCGAATGTGTCCCTGACCCAACAAAGCAGCATGACAGAAGCACACCCAGTGAGAGTCACCCTGAGACAAGGGGACAGAGCAACCTTCAAACTGGCACAAAGCGAGAGGGGACCCAGGGGTTGCAACCATTGGACCACAAAGCCCTTGCAGAGTTTCCATGGGCCCTTAGTCATGGTATTCCAGAACTACTGAGCAAACTGCTAAAGCTGAACCCCCGGGACGTGTACACTCGCAGGGGCCTAGCAGAGGATCACTAAAGTACAATAGGGTGTGATCAATCAAAGGCAGACCCACACAAGGCAGGAAAAACAAAAAGGAAAATAAAACCCCGCAAGAAGACAACGTACCCAGGCGGAACAGAGCCGGCTGCTATGAGAAGTGATAACTAGCTGCACAGTACCCTGCGCCCCAACCAGTGACGAAAACTACCCCCCTACCCAGAGGCAAACAGGAAGCATGAACACTCCAGCTGACTTCAAGAGCAGTCAATCACCGAGCAGCAATAGCCACAGCGGAGGTAAATTCTAAGGGTGATATAATTACTAAGGTAAATAATTCGGGGTGAGAATAGCTTAAGCTACCTCATCCCTTTGTGTGTATATTACCTCAATAAACTTATTTCAAGGTGACAGGGAAGGGAACCCTAAGTGCATGCAGCCCGAGTACTGAAGAAATTTACTCCTGGCTCGCACACCCCTGTAGATACAGTACCACACCACAAGGGCACAGAACTGGAACAATGCTGGAGCCAGACACATGACCATTGCCAATCACATCAGCTGAAGAACTGCAGGGTGGATAGCTGGTGTGAGGGTCTGGGGCTTCCCTTTTTCCCTCTCGGGAAGGGGGGGGGGGGGTTGCGCAGACAGCGGCGCGGCGACGTGTTGACGTCATGCTAGTTGCTAGTTTTCATTTGGGGAGTTCTGTCCACTCGTTCAGCTTTTGGTAGCAATATTTTAACCAAAATAGCGATTTGTTTTGGGGTGCTTACCTTTCTGGGTACCTGACCCAGTTGATGGCAGACATAGAATGTTTCCAACCACACAGGGGGTTTCTATAGGCCATTGCTTCTTGTGCATCTCTGAGGGGGGCCAGGTTCTGGCTCGTGGTCCCCGGTAGGCCTAGAACTCCATGCACATTGACTGATACCAAAGTCTAATACAGTATATCTATATCAGCCTGGATAGCTTCAGGGAGCCGATGGGGCTCCCCCCCCCCAGGAAAGAAAATAAATTTTTGTGCAGCCCCCTGTTGTGAGCCGCAACTTGGGAATGGTCAGTTGGTGGTCTGGGGGGGGGGGGAGGGTAAGGGTGGTGACCTGGATAAGCCTAGAGAATATGTTTTCCCCAGTGTTAGGGGGACAATCACTTACCAATAAACTGCTTTCAAATATACTTTATTCACAGAAGACCAAATTTTCTTATCGGTACAATAAAAGAAAGGCTGTCTCCTTTAGGAGAGCAAAGTCTTAAGTTATTTATCATCATTTTACAATACTGTATTATTAAAAAATATTAACATTACGTAATCACCATCACTACTACACTGACCTTCCATATACTAGACAGGCATTAACTCAAGAGAAAAGAAGAGAGGAGTACAATACTGTATTGGTAAAGGCTATTGATATTAAGGCATGACACCCATCTACTGACCTTGCCTTGCACGGTGTGTAGCATCACACACGACCATCACCACTGCCACAACAGTAGGTTATCGTTATAAGCCTGTACTATTAAAATACCTCGAGTGTAAACAGAGATACATGGTACCATTTAGCTCACCTTTAGGACTAAATTTAATGCCATATCTTTTGCCTGCTCATTTTTCCCCTTGGAAGCCACAGGAGCATTTGCCAGTAAGAGTTTCAGAGCATCAGCATGGTTACCTGGGAAATGAAATGAGTTAATATGGTGTTCATCTTTGACATTACAACAACCATTTTGTAATAGAAAAGGTTTTCATGAATACAGTACACAAGTAAGAAGACAGCATTTGAGCATGTGAAAAGCTTATTTCAGAACAAGTTATTCTGTCATGCTTTGAACAGCAGGTACACCCAATTTATGCAGTACAGTATTTAGATTATATGGAATCACAGATACATGAGTAAGCACGTTACAGAAATGTATTTAAAATTTTGTCAATATTGTGCTGCCTAACATAGGAAAAACTAGAACTAAGTTGGACATTCATGTTGCCAATATGTTAATATTATTAGGGATGAACTAATTTTTAAAGAAATATTTAAATATACAGTGGCACCTCCCTATAACAAAGGAGCAAATCTGGCCACCAGGTCTATCTTCTTGAGGTTATCTTGAGATGATTTCGGGGCTTTATTGTCCCCGCGGCCCGGTCCTCGACCAGGCCTCCACCCCCAGGAAGCAGCCTGTGACAGCTGACTAACACCCAGGTAACTATTTTACTGCTAGGTAACAGGGGCATAGGGTGAAAGAAACTCTGCCCATTGTTTCTCGCCGGTGCCTGGGATTGAACCCAGGACCACAGGATCACAAGTCCAGGGTGCTGTCCGCTCGGCCGTCCGATCGGTCTACCCTCCACATTTTGAATTTTTCTGGAAAACCAGTGTTGAGTGTAATGAACCACCTCTTTCTGGTTGGAATATGGTGGCTCCCTGTTGTTAACCCCCTGGATGTCTCAAAGTACACATCATGTCACACCAGGTCCTTACAAGTCACTAAAAGTCTACCAGAGGTCAAATCCTGGTCTCTCGGGTAGCTCATTATGTCAATGACCACCTTGAGGGAGTGAGCTCGTACATGTCAATGTCTGAACATGACACAAAACTGATGAGGGATGTAAAAACAGAGGAGGACTGCAGGAAGTTACAGGAGGACCTAGACAAATATAGTTCCACTCCTATAATACTGGAGTATGCCTAACACCGGAGGCACACAAACAGAATATTAACATCGGCAGCATATCGGATGTTGGCAAATATAAAACCATCATTCAGAAACCTAAATCAGGACTACTTCAAGGCAATCTAAACAACATTTGTTAGACCAATACATGAATATGCATCACCTGCATGGAATCCCCACTTTGTAAAGCCAAAATTGAAACAGTACAAAGGTTTGCAACAAGACTGATGCCAGAGCTAAGAGGGTTATGAGAATAGCCTAATGGATCTAAGTCTCAAAGCCCTAGATGATAAAAGGAACAAAGGGGATATGATCACAACATACAAGACAATGGGGAAAATAGATAAGATGGACAAGGATAGCTTCTTCAAATTGAAAGAAAATAGGACAAATTGAAAGCTGGAAACACATGAGCCGAAGGAATGTAAGGAAATACTGTACTTGAGCCTGGTATGGGTAGTCAACAAGTGGAATGCTCTGAAACAAGAAGTTGTACAAGCCATCCCATCCACAAATTTAAGGCCAGATTCAACAAAGAATTTGAATGTCAAAATAGTTAAAGCGAAATGCAACAGGTGCAACAATGTTACTAGCCAGGCCATAAAGAGCTGGACCTCACTCCTACCCACGTAGCCACTGTTAGGCTAGGTAAGTACCACAATACAAGGTCTACCCAGAGGAAAGTCCAATTCAAATAGTGTACTCAGAGAGTACACTATTTATTTACACTATTACTAGGGTACACTATTTATTTACACTATTACTAGTGTACTCAGAGAGTACACTAGTAATAGACTCAATGAGAGTAATGACCCAATGCTGTGGTCATTACTTGAGATTTTGATTAGTGTAAACAAGGCATCAGTCATAACTGCTCACAATAGCAGTCTAAAAAACCAGCGTTGAATGTAATGAAACGCCATTTTCTGGGTGAGACCCGGAGGCTCCCCGGAGCTTTACCGGCTGATATGCTAATGTCAGACTTTGGCATCAGTCATGTGTATGGAGTTCTAGGGCCTACCGGGGACCACGAGCCAGAACCTGGCCCCCTCAGAGAGGCAAGGGGAGCAATGGCCTATAGAAACCCCCGTGTGGTTGGAAGCATTCTATGTCTGCCATCGACCGGGTCAAGCATCCAGAAAGGTAAGCATTCCAAAACAAACCCCTATTCTGGTGAAAATTGCTACCTAAGCCGAACTAGTGAATAGAACTCTTCAACAGAAAACATGGAAACTAGTATGACGTCATACGTCACCGCGCCGCTGTCTGCGCAGCTCCCCCCTCCCCGGGAGGGGGAAGGGGGAGCCCCAGACCTCCCACGCCGGCTATCCACCCATCAGTTCTGAGGCTGGATGTCAAAACACGCGAAAAACGCCGACCGGAGGGAGGGAGGGTTGCCGGGGAGCCTCCGGGTCTCACCCAGAAAATGGCGTTTCATTACATTCAACGCTGGTTTTCTGGGGGGAGCCCCGTCGGCTCCCCGGAGCTAACTACCCACAGAGGAAGGTCAAAGGGACAAAACCGGGAGGCGGACACCACGCACCCCCAAGGAGGCGAGACAACCGGCAGCAAACGCCAACCCAAGGCGCCACAGCCCCGAAAATCCCGGGAACAACACGAGAACCACGAGCAGCAAGGCCCCTGCACGAACACCAAAAATCCATGCCCGAAAGACTGCAAGGCCACGTCGCCCAGACGGCAGCGAGAGCAGCGAAGCCACGAACGCCACAGGCATGAGGGAAGAACACAGGCAGCTTAGCCGCAAGAACACGGCTGACCACCCGGGACACCATCACCCGCGAACCGGGAAGAACAGAACCGGATCAACGCAAAACGCGCTCCGGACCCAAACGCCGTGGCACGCAAACAACAGCAGAGGGCCGCCACTGAACACAAAAACGACACACCCCCGGCCCGACCAACAAAGCACCAACAAACCCTGGACCCCTCCAGAATGCAGCAGCCCCACCCCGCGCCAGAAAAGATGGAGACTGCTGCCATCAAACAACCAAAACGCTAAAACCGAAGGAGCAAGAAAACACAGCGAACCGACCCCCAGAGGCAAAGGCCCAAAGGAAAGAGCCGACGAAAAAACACACCGGAACCGAAGGGGCACTACCAACCGAGGAGAAGACAGAGCACGCTGACCAGAGACCAGGATGGTGCAAGCGGCGCACGAACAGGCCGGAGGTGAAATGACGCACAAGACAGCTGACTAACGGTGCAGAAGCAACACCAAGACCGAAAGCAAGCTGAAGCGGCTCCGCCTGCGCCGCACGAAAAGAGGCGACAGTATGTGGCAAGACGACGGCCCCCAACCCCTACTAGAAAACCAAGCCGAGAGTAAACCAAGCCAACAAGGAGGACCCACCGAAGAAGGGACAGGAAAAGGAAGGACCGCCAAAATACCCCATACTGCCGCCAAGAAAGCACGCAGGTGGGACACCTACCACGAAGCCACCTGACCACCAACCGGAGGCGAGACCACGAGGCAGAACATAAGCAGCCCCGACAAGGCCCCCCCCGAGCCCAGGAAAAAGGCGGAGCCGCGAGAAGATCTCGGGCGCGACCACCGAAACCCAGGCGGCACAAGGAGATGGAACGTCTGCCGAACAGAAAAACTCCGAAGCATGCAAGCCCGCCAGGAGTTCAGAAACGACGGGTCCGACGCGAGACATCGCAAGAACCCCCCCAAAAAAAGTAAAACAACAACAACCGGCAGGGCAAGCTAGGAAAACCAAAGAAGGCGGAAGGGTCGCCGCCAGAACAGGACCCGAACCAAGGGGCACGAACAACTGCAACAGACCGAGACAAAGAAGCACATCACAGGACACAGGCTGACCAACGCCTAAGAACACAAGCAGAACATTCCTGCTGCAGAAGAGGCAGGAAGAAAGAGCAGAAGCACAAAAAAAAAAAAAAAAAAACCAGGAGAACAACCAGGGGTGGACAATCAGGCAGGGACAAAAACCCCACGCAATCCCCAGGCACAAAACGGCAGCAAAGCGCCACTCCACAACCGGACACAGGAACAAGGACACGCCACCGTGAAACACGGTACCAATGCTCACGTGCAGCAGCAGCAGCAACAGGCACCACTGCAACATGCAACATGTAAATAGCAACTCCCCTCTGCAAAGGCAGAGAACGGAGCAGGCAGACCCCAGACAGGGCCAACGGAGACACGACAAAACCCCGCAGGCCCAGAAACCTGCACCAGGCGACCGACGGCGGAGAAAACCCCGCTCGATACCTGCTGGATGAGGTACTGGGAGCTCTTTTACACCTCAAGCCCGGCCCAAGGTCAGGCCAGACCGGCCAGAGGATGGCCCACCAGGCAGCTGCTAGGAGCAGTCCACCGGCCCACATACCCCCACAACCAGGACGGGCCGGAACTGCCATACGAAAACAGGCCAGTGCGCCCTGGAAGTCCACGGACGAACCAGCAAGAAGGCTTATGCTCGCAAGTAGGTCGTGTAACAAGCACAGACCACTGATGGTAATACAGTGTTCCCCAAAAGTGCCAAGAGCACCACTGCACTCCACTGGTACTATCCCGCAAGTTCTACCAGATAGGCGGGACCCAAGAGCCAGAGCTCAAATCCTGCAAGCACAGCCAGGAGCCTCACCAGGTGAGTACAGAACCAACCCTACAACCCCCACACCTCACAACATTAAAAAAGGAGGGTCCCCTGAATGACTCCAGCATGGGTTGGACATGCACATGAGGGGGACAGGAAGGGGTGATAAAGGGACAGTCACTGGTGTGCGAACGGTCTCAGTCGTACAAAATTATACCTAAATAAAAACAGGTATATGAACACCGCCGCATCCAGCGCCCGGCCAAAAGACGCCAGACCGCAGAAACTCACCTGGCGAATGGTGGCTCGAACTTGACACGACTCAACCGTGCCCAGAAGAACTTGGGAGCACCGCCAGGTGAAGACGCCAGAGCCGGACCCGCAGGAGAACAGGGAGAGGCGAAGGAGGCGGTCCACAC